ACCCCAATTCTGCTAATTCTATATCCATTAATTTTACCTTTGTTAACCCCAATTCTGCTAATTCTACATTCATTGATTCCATCTCTGTTAATTCCATTTCTATTGGCTTTACTTCTATTTGTTCAATTTCCATTGATGCCGTTGATGATTCACAAGTGGATATTAAAGCAAAGGCAACATTAGAATACATCAAGGTAGGGGCAAAGTAGGCAGTAATAGATTGAGTATTTTGTGTAGCCTTCTTTAATTTTGCTTTTTTTCATCTTAAAGTTCTTTTAGAACCTCCAATATAATTTGAAGGTCTACCTAAAGGTTCTTAGACATCATTATTTTTACCAGCTGTTAATAACACAGCAAAGTAATCAGAAGCTCTCTCATCAATCTTCTTATCTGACCAAATATGGTTATCTAGATTTTCATAATCTAACTCTTTTGTGATACATATACACTTCTTGGCTCTAGCAGCTTTAAGTTGCTGCTTTCTTTTGCTTGGACGGGTAATAATGGTGGCGATAAAACAATTAAATTGAGTAAAAATATAATTGTCCCAATCAAGATTTTATAACCGGGATTAAGATATGGATTGCTTAATTATTAGATCCAACACTCTTAATTTTGCTTTTTTTTTTTTTTTTTATTTATCTTTTATTTATTTATTTTTTATTTTTTATTTTTTAATTGCTTTTATTTTTTTATTTTTTAATTGCTTTTATTTTTTTATTTTTTTTATTTTAATTATTGGTTTTAAAAAGGCTAAAAAGCCAAATTCAATCTGTCTAGCCAATAATATATTTAAAGAAATGTAATGGTTTATTAATAGGTTAATTTCTTCATCCACTTCTTTACTCTTCAACTTTACAGCACAATTTCATTAATCTCTTGAAATTGGATTAAAAATTTTGAGATTAGAAAATTGTTGTATTATCACTACCGCTACATTATTTATCATGAGAGTTGGCATAATTGCATAATTCTTTGCTCATATCACATATGATAGTTTGCAAAAATTTTTTCATTTGTAGACCATGACAATAATCAATCAAATATTAGATTGTGACTAATTTTTCGATTAAAGTTAAGTTCAGAAATTTTAGAAAATACATGCTTGTCTTTTGTATTCAATGATTTTCTGTTTGAAAATATTTAGACATTAATCTTCATCTTTTGTGTTCAATGATTTTCTGTTCAGAAATATTCAGACCTCAATTTAAATTGGCCACTTAGGTTATGTGACACTGGTTCTAGGCTACATGCATCATATGTATTAAATCTATTCAATGTGTCAACTTTTTGAAATCTTATTTTTATTTTGTAAATCAGGTTAAACAAAATTAGTTTTTTTTATTACTGAATTAAAAAAAAAAATTCTTATTACCGAAATTTATTTAAAAAAAAAACTTTTATTGCTCTAATACTGTAATACTATACTTTTTAACATAATTTATTAGGTTTTAGTTTAAATTAATATTTATTTTGCTTTCCAAATTTCATATTCAGTGCATTATTTTGGGTTTCAAACTCATTACTACTAATAATTTGTGGTACAACATTGATTCTTGCAATTCTTGCTCTTTCTATTTGGACCGCCTGTTGGAGAGTAAGCCACAGACTATGAATGTCTTGATCATTTTTATTATTCCACTCTGCAGCGATTGCTACAAGTTCCTCCTGTAATTTTTCGAACTCACCTTTTTCTATATTAATATAATTTGTAGATAGATAAGAAGTGCTAGAAAAACTAGAAATATTAATGTGATGTTGAATATGTTGATTACTCTTTTTTACATTGTCTTCAGAGATTTGAAATCAACTTAATATAGCAAATATATACTTGTATGGTAATTAACATACTCTAAAATCATGGCAAGTACAAATATATAAAGCAGTGTTTAAGTTATCTTTATCATTACTTCTTCTAACAGAATATTCAATATCAGAGTTAGCTATAGAGCGGACGATCCAGGTATTAGAACTGATATTATAGATATTATTCTGATTAATTTTTTTTGTTCCTTCAATTTCTCAGATTCGTTGCTATCATTATCGTAGATTCATTCTTCCAATATTCAAATCATCCAAAAAAATAGAGAAGTCCAAGTCTCAGAGTACTATTTCTACAAGAAGGTATACTTCACTATCGAGGCGTCACTTAGGTCTTCCTCTTATATATACATATTTTAATTTTCTATAAAATACCTCTATTAAATTATTAGTTCCATCATGTCTCTAGCAACTCCTCTTAGACATACTATCTATTTATCATATTTGGGCTTCTACCACCTTTCAAAATAGTCAGCAAAATTATTTGAGACCTCAACACTCATTTTTTTCCACTTACTAACTGCCTCTGTAATTTGCCTTAATATTTCTGAATCATTCCATTCTTTTGTTTTCATTAGCTGCCAAAGATCCTCCCAAATAATTGCTTTGTAAGGATCTTTATTAGCACCATGATTATGATTTAGATTTCAATGCCAGGAGCGCAATATATGAAAATGGCACAATAATACATTGGCATTAGGAAAACATTCTTCAACTGCCTTAATCTCCTCACCTGCATCATCGACTATAAAGATATCTAGACTCCATTCGCTGTTAATTTCTTTTAAAAAATCAAGCCAAGCTTTTAATGTGACTGATCGTTTGAATTTACTAATTAAAAATACAACTGGGCATCCGCTTCCTGTTGTTAGATGCTATATAATAAGCGTGAAGAGGTGGTATCTATACTGATTTAACCTGTATATACTATCTAAACACACCACCCTTGCAAATTTTATTAATTCCTTTTGCTTTTCTGTTTGAAAAGCAAACATAAACCCTTTATTTTCACTATCACTATTATTAAACAAGCAATTTCCATCTGCACAATTTAGTTTCTCTTGCCACTTTATTAAAGATCTTAATTCATTATTATCAAGATAGGCATATGATCTCATAGTATTATACACAATAGTATAAATATCATTTTTTGTTACTAGGCCATTTCGTAGCGACTGAATATTTTGAGATTCAGTTCCTCATTCTAAAAGCTATACATGATCTTGAAGTTCTATTCCTCAGTGCCATAAAAGTTGTTGGATACTATGAGTATCAAGTCCTTCTAAAGCATGTTGTCTAATAAAATGGTAAATATTATCCGATAGAGGAAGTGTGCATAAATCTGATAGCCGGCCAGGTTGATGGTTATTGTGTTTATAATAGTGTTGCAGAGTTACCATTGTTGAATTAACTGGAAGCACTACTTTAATATAACTTTTACACCTATATTTTTTAGATTCTTTTTGTGCAAGTCATGACTTTTTGCTAGAATCTTTCCCAGCAATACTATTGTAGATCCTATAATGATAGCAGAGCCATCATTCTGTCTATATATATTTTTTTCTAGAGCCACCTTCTTTTGTTTTATGTTCATGTCTAATATAACTAAGCTCTGCCTTCTCAAGATTTTTTATTCACTCTTTATAGCTATCAGCAGGTAAGTAAAATGTTTTAGAATTCTCTATATTATACGAATTTTGCAGGTTTTCATCATCATCTTGCATTTCCCATATTTCTTCAACACTATCTGTTGCATCCATAATTTTATCAAGAGTATTATCAAGCTCATTGTCACTTATATCTATATCAGAATCCTCATTAATATCAAAAATCGTATCAATATCGATTGGTAATAACCTGCTAAAATTATTGTTATCAAGCATTGCCTCATTTAATGATGATGACATGGGAAGAATTAAGCCTAATGATAAATTTTTAGAAAACAAATTAATTTTGTTAAGGTTAAAAAAACAAGATTTATTATAATCTTTTTGATTTATGTTAATCCGAAGGCAATTTAATCCCACAATTACTTCTTTTTATAATTTTTAAAAAGATAAACTTTCACTATATTTATTAGTTTGGAATAGATCATTTTGGAATTTTGGTATGCATGACAATAATTTTATTTATTTTTTTTAATATTCTCTCACAAATTCAGCACGCATTTATGTAGAACGATTCAAATTTGGCATATATATAGTTTTTCTTTCATGAATTCAGCTGAGCTTAGAACTGTGCTTATGAGTCTTAATTAGCATAGTTTTTTCATGTATTGTAAATACAAAGTAAAATTTCAAATTATATTATATAATATAAAATTTTACTTTGTATTCGCAGTATATTAAAAAAAGTAGGGCAGCTGTTGAAAGTCAAAAATGGCTTCTTCTAATTGGCATGCATGGTAGTAATTTGTTTTATTATATTTTACATTATCTTTAATTTTTCTTACAAATTTGACATGTATTTATATAGAATAATTTGTATATGGTATACAGAATTTTTCCCTCATGAATTTATCATGTGTTAATTTTATTATATAGGCTTAGAACTGTGCTTAGAGGTCTTAATTGGCATGTATAACATTAATTTTATTTTATTTTATAATATTTAATTTTTTTTTACGAATTCAGCATGCATTTATGTAGAATGATTTTTACGAATTTGGTATGCACACAATTTTTTCAGCATGAATTCAAAATATGTTTATTTATTGTATGAACTTAGATAAATCACTATGTATTAGGATATTAGAAATGTAAAGATATTAACTTTATAATATAATAAATTAAATTTTATTAATTAAATGTAAAATTAATGAATGTAAAATTAATAAATTTAAAATTAAATTAATTTTGTCTAAATATGTATGCAATCAATTTTATATATTAGATATATTCACTAATTCAATACTAGGAAATATGTAAAATTTAAATATTTTGTGCATATAGTATGTAAATCAATTGAATTTATTAGGACTAGTACATATTAATTTATGTCATAAATGAGAATTACAAATTTCAAAAATATCAATTACATTTCTAAAAATATAATGCATCATGAATTAGAAATAAAATTCAAAAGTTGAACTTTATTAAAATATTGAAATACATAGCGTATTACATTATCAAGGCTATTACACTATGCTCTTGTATATATGTGTGCCTAAATTGTCCATTCTAATAAAGTAATTATAATCTTATTTAGTGCAGAAATTATTTTCATATTTGTTGAAATTTTTTGAACTCTTTTCATCAAAATACATTATATAGTATAGTTATTTCGGAGGGTTTCATATAAAAAATTTAGCAATGCCAAAATGTTTGCCAAAAATACTTTTTTTCAAAAATAATTTAGGCACACATGTATATGCTCTTGACTCAACATATTGGAGACAAAATAAAATTAGTAACAACTCCAAAAAAAAGAAAAATGCAAACTGGTACTTATCTTGGTACCAATTTCGGGTTCAAGATCTCAATCCTGGTCCCAATTAACCTTTCCTGGCAAAGCACAAGACCTACAAAAAAGAAAAAAAGCATTGGTAACAACTCCAAAAAAATGACAAATAAAAGAAAAATATGAACTAGTACTTATCTTGGTACCAATTTCGGGTTCAAGGTCTCAATCCTGGTCCCAATTAACTCTTCCCAGAAAAGAAAAATGCGAACTGGTACTTATCTTGGTACCAATTTCAGGTTCAAGGTCTCAATCCCGGTCCCAATTAACCCTTCCCGGAGAAGCACAAGACCTACAAAAAAAAAAAAGAGAAAAAGTAACAACTCCAAAAAATGACAAAGAAAAGAAAAAACGCAAACTAGTACTTATCTTGGTACCAATTTCGGGTTCAAGGTCTCAATCCCGGTCCCAATTAACCCTT